CATGATGGAGGGGTGAGACAATACGAGAGATAAATAATACCTAGCTAGTTTTGAAAACCAGAGGGAACCATATTACTCCTACAACCTACTGACAAATTATACATAGCAGATCAAGAAATATAGGTCTAGGTAAGGTTTATCTGAGAACAATGGTCTTTACCCAAGATTTAGCTACATGACACACAGTAGTTAAAAATACCAGACTGGTGGAACTAACCTTCTTGGGTGTTTAACAGACATACTTTGTGTTAAGGTTCAGATAGCCCTGCCCCCTCACCAACAGGATCCCAAGGACTTCTCATGCTCCGAAGCCAGCCATGGTTGAGCAGGACCTTTGACTTAGCTTCACATAGTAAGAACTGGTAAAAGAAAGGAGCCAGGAGCTCCTCCCAAGCCCATGTGACCCCCAAGGAACAGATCCTCAAATTGGTATATCTGGGCCAACTGTATGGCCTTAAATACCCAAAAGGAAAGTATAACCAAAGATGAAAGAGGCCAATATAATCTTTTAGGAGTCCATATGTAGCTAAAGGCTACATAACAAGAAACAATCTCAGATAGGCAATATCTTCTTTTGAGTTATTGGCCAGGGTGGCCCAAGAGACTCCCAGACAGTAAACCAGCATAGAACTGGGAAAATGAACAGCAGACCCCAGTCTTATCTAAAGGAATATTGACAACTGATTACTGCTAGATGAGGAACAGCTGACCCTCCTAAAACAAAGACCTCTAGATAGGCTGACTAGATTCACCAGAAGGGCAAGTAGTGGGGAACAGCTGGGGTGCCAACAACACAGCAGACAGTAGCAGGGATATCAGAGTATAAGGGCTCTAGTTGTGGGGGGCTATGAGAGGGTTCCATCTGTAAAGTGGGTGTATAGTTGAATAAGATGGTTTGGGATGTTCTGTGTGATATATATACACACACACACACGCACACACACACAAAAAATCAACAAATTTTAAAAAATGTATCATATTTGAGGAGGAAGCATGGAAATTTATGTCATGTTAATTCGTAGAGGTGATAAACCTTACCACTGAAATCTACCCAATGACCTCTACAGACAAACACAAGTGCCAAGGGTCCAAGTGCAACTGATTATGACTAGTAATAATCAGATACATACAGATTAGAGATGCATGTATCAACATCTCAGTGTTTGTAGCAAAAAG